GACATTGGAACTATAAAGAAGTCAAAAATCTAGTAGCCGCATGTTTTCTTCTTTGCTTGTTTTAAAAGTGAGAGGTATTAAGTCCTTGATGAAGTTACCTTGGCTTCTGGTGGGTTTTCTGTCCCTTGGGTTGATTCAAGAGCTGTTACTTTGCCAATAACAAAATATGATCCTACTCCAGTGAAATTCTCTCACCTGTGTTAGGCGGGAAGTCAAATAAAGTTATCATAATGGACCTTTATTAAAAATCTATTGGTCTGTGATTATTTCGTTACTTTGCAGGTGAAAAGGCAAAAGTTAGGTAGATCCCCAAAGAGTGGGTTCTCAGTGTGTTAGTGTTGATTTATTTAAAGCATAGTTTGTTTGTTTCAGGAAGAAACTGGAAATTTTATTAGCAATAACCGTGACATCATAAAAATTCCCAGGCTCATTTGGAGAAGCAGATGCTCAGAAGACCTACTACATTTCCATGTCGTACTTTGCATATTCACCAGGGCCTAGGCTTTAGCCAGCACAAATGGTTTTCGCTCTGCAATCAGTAAACTCTGAAATGTGCATCCGCTGAAGACCTGCCGCCTATTTCTGTACCTTAGATTTAGACATTTACAGGATTTAGACCCAGTGGGTAGAGGCAAGGCTTTTTTTATTAAAGAAGTGGGGCAGGAGGGGATAATTTTGGAGTTGCTTGAATTTTAGACCTGAACTCACCCAGGGCTGGACCAGCGGGAGATGAAGCCCCCAGGTCCCGTAGCAACGCCGTCGCTGCTGGGTGCCGGGGTATGCGCCGTCGAGGTGCTCCGAGCCAGCCCTTTGAAGCTGTTCCAAGGAATGAAATGCTGACTGGATACAGCGAGTTAAAAAGAATGAGTTCGCTGCTATAATCCGCTGGCTCGGGCACTCACCTGGGAGGTGATTAAGAGGGTGAAAATCTAAACACTATTATGTGGAAAAAAAATTGAAAAGGAGCACTGAGGTGTCACTCAGATGTCTTTTTCCGTTGCTTTTTGCAGGATCATTTTTGCCAGGGTTTGAATCCCCACTGAAAGAGCTCGCTGTAGCTAATCCTCTGAGAGTGGCTGTGTTTCCGAAGTGGGAAATGGATCTAGGATAAACAGACAATCTGCTGTTGGCACGCGGCCCGCTCTGCCACGCTGCAATGAAGCCTTCTCGTCTGCAGCGAGGTTCTGCAATGGCTAAGCTCCTTCTGAAGCTGAAGGAGAACTGAGCACCACAACTGGAAATCCGACAATGGCACCTATAAAGAAAGGATTTCTATTTGCACAGTTAACGGCAAATGAAATTATATTTAGTGGTTCGATAAATTATTCAAAGTTCAAACCTGGAGCTTTTTTTGGGGAGAAATGTTCATACTTGTTAAAACTTTTGGAACTTAAAGTGAAGCATGCTTTTGCTGTGGAATATTAAAAATCAGCTAATTAAAAGCAATAGGTGAACTGAGGACACTGTGACTCTCAGAATAAATGAGAAATTCTGGAAGAGGCACTAAGGTGAAGAGCTGAATATCCGGGAAAGAATAACATCTGTCATTGAGAATTTGAAATAGTTTCAGCCATTCAGTGTTAGCTTGTTAAATTTCTTCTTAAAACACAGCTTTTTTGAGAATAAGTGGGTTTATGGTTTTCTCTTTGATTACTGCCTCTCCTTTTGAAGAAATTTTACCAATAAAGATTTGATTAGAAATATGTCAATGATGTTTTTTTTTACAAGACAAAGGAGTGTTTAGCTGGGTTGATGCCTGCTCCGTTCTTTTGGTGCTGTAGTGTAGGAAGTGGAGGAAACTCAAACTGAAACATTCTTGTTCTGTTTTCATAGTCACAGAATCACAGAATCCCAGCATGGCAGGGGTTGTAGGGGACCTCTGAGGGTCATCCAGCCCAACCCGCTGCTGAAGCAGGGTCACCCAGAGCAGGCTGCACAGCACTGCGTCCAGGCGGGTCTTGAATATCTCCAGAGAAAAAGACTCCACAACCTCTCTGGGCAGCCTGTTCCAGGGCTCCGTCACCCTCAGAGGGAAGAAGTTCTTCCTCATGTTCAGACGGAACTTCCTATGCTTCAGTTTGTGCCCATTGCCCCTTGTCCTGTCGCTGGGCACCAACTTAATGCAACTTAAGTCAAACTTAGCCAACTTAAGTCAGACTTAATGCAAAAAGTGAGATTAGAAGATCAACAGGGAGAGCCCCATTTAAGTTCTCTTTTACTGCTTTGGCTGAAGCGGAGTGATATTCAGCACCGACGAGCTGGTAGCTTCCACACGTGACTTCGGGTAACCTCAGGGTATCTTTGGATTCCTTCTTGCGGGGCACATTGCACCCGTGGAGGGATTGCTTTTCTTCTTTTCCTGTCCCCTGGTGCCATCTTCTCTCCGTGCTGCTTCTAGGAAATCTTGTGGTGAATCTGTCCCATGTGCAGCCTCTTACCTGGCCGTGTGCTCATCCGTGCCCAGATGATCAGAGTGGTTTCCACTCAAATCGTTGGGAAGTAGGAATGCTCACCACAAACGACGAAGATTGTTCTTAGCAGAAATAGCCACGCCGTGTTCTGAAAGAAAATCCGGTAGATTGTGGAAAGGCTTTGAGGAAAATGAGATGTGAATCTGGTAGGACCAGCAGCATTACCTCCTTGCTTTTCCTCTGAGGATAAATATTGATTATAAATATGCTCCAGGTTCTAACAGTCTGTTAGCCACACATCTGAAGACTTTTTTTTCCTGGAGGTCAGGCTGTAGTTCTCGGAGCAGCACTATTACTGCCTTATTCAGAGGAAAAGAAGAAAGCTGATTCTTTGAACTTCTGGATTAGTCAGAGCAGACAGTGTTGACAAGATGTAATTGCTGCTTCAGCTGAGAGGAAGGGTAATGCCTCTGTTGTTTTGAAGTTCTTAAAGAAACTCTCTTGTGATCTAAAGCTAGTCATCTTAGACAAGCAATTTGCTCCTGAGCGATAAGAACCTTTAAAAAGGTCAAAAATGACAAAAAAAAAAAAAAAAAAAAAAAAAAAAAGAAAGTCCAAAGCCACTCCTTAATCTCTTTTTAGTTACACAATGTAGGCTTGCGAGAGCTGGAGAGAGCACTGTCTGTTTGCTCTCCTTATCTCAAGCAGCAACGAAAGTCCTGACCTGGGCTTCAGCTAAGGCAAAATCCGTTATTTTCACAGATAGTCCATATTAAACCATGAAACCTGGAATAAATGCCATCCCTGAGCTAAGATGGCCATCAGTTCATGCCAGAATATAGAAAGACCATTTCACTTCATTATTAAGCCAATTATCTCTGACTTGTATCTTTATTCTACTAAATCTGTGATCCCTTTCTGCTAACCTACCATCAGAATTTGACTTCAGATATTTTTTTTCGTGTAGGTGAAGGAGGAGTCGGGCCAGTGGTTGTCTGGACAGTGCTCTGGTGAACAGGATGGCATGGTTTTAACTACAGGGTACATGGAACTTGGACATTTTTGCCTTTTAATCTCAGTGTAGGTTTGTTGTATTGTGAAGCACACTAGATAGATAGGAACCAATTTGATTTAATCAAAAATTTCATTACAGATGTCCCAGATGTGCCCGCTTTTACTTCTCTGCATTGTAGACTAAATTTAATCCCAGTCTTTTAAATCCCTCTTAATAGGTAGCCCACCCCTCTGAGCCTCATTTAGTTTTTCTTCAAGTGCCCCATTAACTGATATAATGCTGTCATACTTTCCCCTGTTATGTCTCTTTACTATATCCTAGCATCCTTTTTATTTCTTTCTACTCTTTTTTTAATTAAAATTTCTCCTAGCATCGAATTGGTGTTTCTGCTGAACACTCCTCGGTTGCTCATAGACTTTTTCTTGTTTGGTGACAGCTAATTCAGAACCCATCACTGGGCCAGATTCAGCTGCTTTTTGCGCTGCATGAAATTCGACAATTCTATTGATGTCAGTTAAGTAAATCTGAACTTTATGCTGGTATAAATGAAATAAAAACCTTGCCTAGTGTGATCAAGGAGCTTATTACATCCCCATCAAAAGGCAGGTCTGGCTGCCCTGTTTACATTTGTTTAGTATTTCCTGATTATGATTTAACTGAAGCATAGGATATGTTTTCCCCCCCTTCATGGATATATTATAACAACAAAAATGCCTGCATTTATAAATTCTCGATGTGTGCTTGTGTAGCACTCAGTACGACGGACTTTCACCCCGACTGAGATGTCTGAGCGCTCCTCAATCCAACTCTTAGTTGCAACTGAAGAAAATTATGTGGCTGGATCCTTCACATTGTGTGAAGCTGGATCTTTCAAGAACGTTGTGAGTGATTAGACGCAGAAGGAATGAAAAAATCCTGCCCGTAATGGAACTGAAAAACAGGAATATGCTTTAATGTGCTCTGACACCTGCTGATCTTCCTTGAACTTCGTCTACTGTCGTAAATACTCTCTTTGACTCTTTTTGAAGCCCGTTGGCATCAGTGGTTTCGATGATGGGAAACAGTTTGAAATTATTTGCGTAATCTTGTGTAAACACACCCTTGAAATTTGTTTTTATAATCAATTGTTTTATCCATATCTTACCTCATGGAAACGAAGCCCGGTTTTATGCTGCCAAGACAACTTAGACATAGAAGTTTTCATATTTTAATGTTATATTTAGAATATGTAAAAATGTTATGCTAGTTGTCAGTTACAAATATTTGAGAACTATTTGTTTTTTCTCCTGAAAACTGATGAACTACTGTAATAATGTCCTGTCTTACCTTATTGCCTCTCTGGATAGTTTATTTCATGATGGCCTTGTCCAAACTAGAAGACATCTTGTGGTTAGCATGCACATAAAATATTGTATAAAAAGGCTTAGGTATAAATGATGATAAATCAAAACACCTTTAGGGAAAAAAAAGAAAAGCAAAACAAAGGATTGTGCTTTGCATCTCAGTATAAAAAAACTAGATATACACTAGCTAATTCTCACTAATAACATCTGATTTTATTTTGTCTCTTTAAGGTAAAACTGGCCACACGGAGTCTGTACGAGTTGTATATCAGCCAGAAGACATCAGCTTTGAGAAACTGCTCAAGGTCTTCTGGGAGAATCATGACCCGACACAAGGTAGAGTGATGAGCGAGCCAGTATTTAATTATCGTACTAATTACAGCTGGGATAATTAGTGTTTGAGCTGCATGGAAGAGATGAACCTTGAAATCACACTGGAGCTCAAGAATATGATTGCAGACGTTTATTGACAGAGAAAGAGAGGGAGCAAGAGAATGCGAGTACAGCAGCTCACAATACCCCTCCTCCTTTACAGCTGTCTGTGCTGGGATAATTCCCACAGAGAGCCACAGGAGACAATAGAATTTTTTTTTTCAACTTTGAATATGAAAATTTCTTCTGTGATGCTATCTTTTGTCTCTCAGATTAAAGCAGATTTCTTTACAGCTTCAGAGCTGGTCGTTTTATTTGTGCTGAAGACCTTTATCCTTCATAAAAAAATTTGTTTGTTTTTTGTGTTTTTCAATGGCAGTAAATATCTTTTATGATTAAAAAAAGGGAACAAAAAGAATGAAGAGATGGTGTGTAGAAGCACCGGCAAAGCATTCTAGCTCTTCGCCTTATTTGAACCATTTGATTAAATTTATCTTTCTTGGAAGAGGCTTCGTGATGACATTACCCACATCTGTGCAAACATCAATGGGAAACTGTGTTGAGAAAACATTTTACGTTTTTATATAGTTTCAGTAAACATCCTTTCTGCCATTTCCCAGAAATACTACATGCAGTAACTCATTTGAATATTTTAACAGCTATCATAATTATGCCACTTGTTACTGCATCTGGGAACAAAAAAAGGCAGATGATGATACCTTCAAAGTGTGACACCATCCTGGGAAATGGGAACCCTGAAAATGCAGATGATGATACCTTCAAAGTCTGACGCCATCCTGGGAAACGGGAACGCTGAGGGGCTGTTGTGGGTGAGGGTCTTCTGGTGAGCCCAGCATGGGTTTCCTTGTTGACATACCAAGAATTATGCTGAGATATTACTGGGGATTCGAAGGAGGGATGGACAAAGGATATAGAGCCCAGAAAACTGACCTGGAGCTGTGAATAAATACGGTCAACTAGTTGAAGAGACGTAAAACTACAATCAGGTAATCTTCACAGGTGCTTGTGTGAGGAGCAGATACCTCATAGTGAGGTTGACAGCCCAGCCACTGGTAAGCCAAAACAAGTTCCAGTAGCTGAAAGTTTGGAAATTTCCACCTCGGAATAAAGTAGTTTCACAGCTTTCAGTGTAATTAAACATTGGAGTCTTTTTCCATCACCATCCTTTCGAGTCTGGAAGATGAGATAATTTATCATTTTAAAAGAGGAGCTTGATTCAAGTCGTGAGAAGAAATTTGGTGTCTGTGTGTCAAGTGTGGTGGACTATACTGGGATCTGTTGATTTATGAGCCTCCCTTTTCAACTCCTTCCTTCATCGTCATGTTCAGAGCAATTTGTTTGCACAGTCTTGGAAATACTTGCAGCTCTGCATGAAGACAATGACCATCTTCAAATCATGCTCCAGGGCCTCTGTGGTTTGCTTGCAGGGGTCTGGGAGGAGTCTTTCTCCTTATCCTACCACTGGTTGTTTCAGGTTCTTTTTTTTGTTCTTTTTTCTTTGGATTGTCAGGGATCCGCCACCACCAGAGGCTGGCTTCTGTGTAATGGGCTGGTTGTTTTGATGCAGCAGAGAATCCTTTTTCTCAATAATTGGTTCATGTGTCTTGCCCACATGTTGGGATTCATCCTGATTGCCAGAACTGGGAACTAATGGCCAGGACTATAGGGTTCTTCATCTTCCAGAGCAGTATGACAAATGGATTTCTGCTGAAATAATCTGGGCAGCTACCACCTCATCAGTCGCCTGCCATGTCTGTAGTCTTGGCTTTGACAATGCATAGCTGGGCTCTGCTGTGGCACACATACAATAGGTCAGATTCTGCAGAACTTCAGCGCTTTAGGCTGACTGATGTTCATATGCTGGACACAGTAGTATGTGGATGGAGTGTCGCAGTTGTGATAAACAGGTCAGATCAGATGAATTTATGATTATTTCTTGCTTTTAAACAAGGAAAATGATGATATTATTTCTTTATATTCACCTTGCGTTCTCACAGAACTGAGGTTCAAAATATTTCCAGTCTGTGCTTTCAGAAGAAGGTTGGATGCTGGCAGATGCATGATTCACTCTTTTTCTGGCAACTGGGGAAACATCATCTAATTAGCCCGGGCATAGAGCCACGCTAATGTGGCTATATTCCTTCTGGGATGTGAGCTAATATCTCTGTGTGACACTGTGCTGTGTAGATACCCAAGGCATTCACAACTGCCTCAGGCTTCTGTGTGGCTCTGCAGTGCTTGGTGTAAGCATACCTGAGCCATTATCTAAGCTTGGCTCCGTAGAATTTCCAGATAGTCTCCTGGAATAATTTGCTGAAAGTGAGAGCATCACTTTGTCCGCAAAGAAGATGTCACCTTTCTCTGAAGACTTTGCATACCCCAGACTTGGACAAGTTGCTTTACCTATATATTTTTATGGTTGCTTAGTGCTGATCGCTGTTGAAGAACTTTGCAAAGCTCATCAGACCTCAGCCACTTTTCTTGATTTGAGGAAAACCTAAACCACAAGGTCCCAATTTTAAGTTTTTTTATTTTGTAGGGTAGGAATGGTATGCTTATATACCCATTCAAGTTCGGGCAGTTAGCAGTAGAAGATCTTTAAAGTGGAATTGTTTCTTTGCACTGATTTATATCTACTCCCTGCTTTTAGCTTGCTATGGGAAATGTGGTTCTATGTAAAGATACTGAGAGTTATCTCTCTGACCTATGATATTTTTCTCCTTTCCTGAGGTTCAGCTATGTGAACACAGTAAGTCTTATTTATCCAGCCTAATGGGCGTGCAGGATTCTGCCTGTCAAAGTGAAGGTTTCTACTAAGCGGATAAATTTGGAAGATTTCTTATTCATGAAATTCAGGCCACTCTTTGGATGAATCCAGTGTTTCATGTATCCAGCGAATTCTGGACTTCTTGAGTATAGCCCCCACTCAAAAGTGTAAAAGCTTTGTGTGTGGCACTATCTTATCTTTTCTGCAGAAGCTGGGTTAATGCCATTTAAGCCCTCCCCTACCCCTAGCAGAGATAATGGACTTGTCTAATTGTTCTAGTGTCATTAAACATCAAATATGTACATTCTGTTGTGGTTAAAGACCTTTCAGATATCAATCTAGATGGTACCAAGTTGCTAAAGAGTACAGACTGGCAGTCCTCTCATTCATTATTATATGAGCATATTAATATTCAAAAGTTCCTGCTTTCCAAACAGTTGGACCTCCTGCCTTCAAGATGAACCTGACATTTCATGGGGATTTAAATTTTCCCTGGGAGGCAGCCTGACTCTTGTTTCAGAAGCTCTTGAGTCTGAGTACTATAGAGAAGTCTATTGAAAAGCAAGAACCTTTGATCAAGTCAAACAGTCTATGAGTTGAAAGAGATTCTCCCAGATGAGCATCTAAGTGTGGGGCCCTGATAAAGTCTTCCTTGACTATTAATTTAGGCTCTATTTTATAATTCATTACATTTGGGATACTGAAAAAGCAACAAACAAACCCCTGACTTCTGCCAAGTGACATATGGTTGTCATCTCCAGTCAGCCTCTAATGCACAGATCAGCATTCCTTCTCTGCTAGGAATGATCTTATCTATAAGAGGATTGCCCCGTGTAGGTCTAGAAGTGCTTGAGGTGGTTGCTTCTTTGTCATTGATACAGAAAAATAAAAAGAATGAATGTGATACGCTGAAAATACTGCAAAAGAAGCTTATGGCTATTCACTTTGTACATTATTTTGCTTTTCTGAAGTTGAGAGCGCTGTTGGGCAGATTCTGTATTGCCTTGTTTTTGCACTAAAGGGGCCATCCTCAGAACCTTCCAGATTTTTAAGATGTAAGTCTGACTGTCTCCTAAAACTGCACCCTGATGGTGGTTCTGCTGGCACCTCCATGCTGTCTGTCTAGAGGGATGTGGACTTTCAGATTGTTACTTTGTCTGTGTTATGCCTCAGCCTGTAGTTTCACGATTGCAGTAAGCTGATCTTGGACTGAACGACTAGGGAAAAGGGCAATTTTCTTCTCTCTCCCTGACCTGTCTGTAGAGTACAACCTCCTTCTTTGTGTTCACACTGACCGTCACAAAGTTCTCTGCTCAAGCTGAAGATTAACCCCGCATGAATTGAAGTGGAATGTAATTTTCAGCCAGGACTTAAATTGCCATGAGCATGACTGCTGGTGGGACCACCCTTCTGGCATTAGCACTGTCCTATAGTGTGTGAGCCAATTGCAAAACTCAGCTGTGCTTATGTTCAGGGAGGAAGATGACGTATTTAATCTGATCAGAGTTTGGTCACTCTTTGCGGGGTGTGAGAAATGATTTAGAAAAGATAGGACAAGGCGTAATGGCTTCAAACTGAAAGGGGGGAGATTTAAATTAGGTATAAGAAAGAAATTCTTTACTGTGAGGGTGGTGAGGCCCTGGCCCAGGTTGCCCAGTGAAGCTGTGGCTGCCCCCTCCCTGGCAGTGCTCAAGGCCAGGTTGGATGGAGCGCTGAGCACCCTGGGCTGGTGGAAGCTGTCCCTGCTGATGGCAGGGGGGTTGGAACCAGTTGAGCTTTAAGGTCCCTTCCAACCCAAACAATTCTCTGATTCGTTCTGTGATTTTATGATTTCTCCAAACCTTCGGAAAAATCTGTTTGTCACAGTGCAGGTGTGATTCCTCTAAAGCATATCGCTGTTCATGGTTCTCCTGACCGTGAGTGTGGTTGAAGTCCTACATGTGCAGGACATTTCAGCCCAGTCCAAGGCAACCTTAAAGAAAGGCTCCTTGTTGCTTGCAATGGCCGTATAGAACAAGCAGAAGATGAAACAAATACTATTTCTTTCTCTTTAAAACACATTTGGAGCAAATGAAAAATCCACTCGCCTCCTTGAGCTCTTTTCTCTTTAATACAATCCAGAACAGATGCTGGTTTTGGTAGTTCTGCTCCCCACGTTTGCCAAGGGTACCTAATC